ATTCTCGGCTTTATATTCATAGAGGGCATACGAAGTACTTGGAGTAATGGACTCTTTATTAATACACCACTGAATATTTTTTACAAAACAGCTAATTGGACATATGTGAAAATCCCCTCTGTCCCCAAACATGAAGTTCTTTATTAACAGTTGGAGCTACTGAAAACTGAGGGCCTGTAACCAGTGGGGGATCAGATCTGCAAGCTCTCTGTGCAAGAAGTCTTAAAGTGATTATTAGTACACTGATAGATGGATTATACCAGTGATTTAAAATTGAAATGATGAGCAGGGAACAGAGATCCACTTATTTAAAACCATTGGACATTTTCCCTCCCCTTTTTTTTTTTTTTTTTTTTGACTCAGAATACCCCTGATGAATCATTGAAATGAGAATTTAGAACAGGTAGAGAAATTTTGAAGTCCTGCTTCCCTCTGTGTGTGCCCAATTGAAACGCAGATAGGGCACATCAGGCATATTTAATGCTTATGGCATGCTCAAGCAGGTCTTACCTTCACCCTGTCTATCAGAAGGTAATAACACGATCCTAAGACGTGCTAGCTAATCCATTACAATGTGCAAATGAGGAGACCATTGTTGCAAATTCATAATCAGAGGGAATAATTTTCCTATTGAAAGTACTTCGTGTATTTCAAGGTATTAATGTAACTGTTAATCTATTGACTAATCTTTTCTGGTTTTCTCAGCAAAATATTAACTCCGCACTTTCATTTACTCTACAGGGACTTCAGATTTGTATTTTGTACACTTTCAGATCACCAATCTTCAAGAAAAAAGTTTCCGAAGTGTTTCCTGTTTTCTCAGTGTCAGAGTTACCACTGTATCTGCATTCAAAAACTTACTACGTTTCAAAATCACAGCCTGCAAAACATTCACAGGAAACTTTCAGATCAACCCAGACTTTTTCAGAGAATATTTCTTTGTCTACCTTCCCTAACTAGAGTTAGAAACCTGTAAATATGTGAAATACAATCCTGCATTCTTCACTGTTTGTTTTCTGTAGATCTCATAGGTGTCTTGAATGACAGACATACTACTCCAACTGCAGGTAGTTCAAAATAGATCATAAGCCAAGGCCACCAGGAGTCAAAAGCAGGACCATACGCTAGCAAGCCCGTGCAACTGTTAGGCAGCAATGCACTGCTACATCCTCTTGATATTACTTGTACTGCATGTCACTGAGGAAGGTCTTTGAAAGGAATTGAGGTTATTATAGCTTTATATTACAGTACTGCGGGAATACAATGGAAAATTGGCAACGAGGATTGTAAACATGCTCAAGTCACTTGCAGCTGGGGTGTGAAAAAACACGTATATCATACTAATTGTTGTTTAGCTTTGTGTGCTTGACTGTGTTTAGATAACACAGGCCTGTGATAGACTTGGAGGCACCTTATTGTATATCCTTGAGACTCCTGCCCTGCTGTGGGAAAGATCAAAGCACAGTGGAAAACTACGCCTGGGAAAATCCCTGATATATACAGTCGAAAGCAGCAGGTTTGAGATCTTTTCTTTCTTCTCCTCTTTCTGGCCAGCAACAACTGAGCTCTGTGGTGCCTGTGTCTCTGTGTGCCTCTGCCTGGGTGCTGCTGCAGAGATCCCCCAGGTCGTGAGGTAACGAGAACAAATTCACTCTTTGCACTTCATCCATAGTTTTGTGGTTGTTGCTGCATCCTGCCTGTGTCAGCTCATACAGTAGAGATGTTTAGGTGCTCTGCTTATGCCCTTCTCATTTTTCAGGTCATGTTTACCTAGCCTATGCAGTGTAGTTCTCCTCTCTCTTTTGTAAGAAGAATTTCAATTTAATTAGAAACCGAAAGGTAAATCAACAAACAGCACAGTTCTTGCTCGCTCTGGATCCAAATTCTACTTACTACTTCTATAATATGTTGGTCTTTCCAGAAGAAAATCTCTATCTTACAATGATCTTCTAAATTTGCCAACCAAAAATTCTTTATTATAAATGGCTATTAGACAAAATGTTCTCCTTTCCTATTTAAAAAAAAAAAAAAAAAAAGTTAGATGTTTGAAGAAACACGTTAGGAAATAAATTCTTTGTAAATATGTAACATAGTTCCTATCACATCATCCCAGCATTAGCTTGGGATAGGAAGCATGTTCACTTTTGGAGGTGGATGGGTGTTACCAGAATAGTGGCTGGAGCATTTCAGTTAGCACCCTGCTGTGAACTGACTTTGGGCTACACCTTTCTCTCTGTCTCTCTGTCCTTTGGCTTTATGGGGAGCTTGGAAGAGGGATCACTTGATCTAGGCATTAAGAGTTTGGCTTCTAAACTTAGGCTACAAGTAAATATAAACCCTCCCCCTTCTCTGTCCACCTTTCATTGATATTATGCAGTACGAAAAAGTAGAAAGCAGCATCAAAGGGAGAAGGGAGAAAAGTTTCTGGGTGTCGAAGTGAGGAGTAAGGGAAGAGGAGAGTATCTTGACGGAAGAAAGCGTATGGTGGCTTGAGCACAACTGGTGTGTGAAGTGCAAGCAGCTCTTCTCTCTTTGTGACTCTGAGCAAAGCGGTAAGGCTCACTGTAGCGGGTTCTTGTCTAATGAATGGGAACAGTTATGCTGACTCACCCCCTTCTCTCTTGTGTGAGAAAAAAGCCAGAGAAATTTAGACAGGTAACTTTTAAAAACTGTATCTCTTTATTCTGTTATCTGAACAAATATATTTGTATGGTTTGCCATCTGTGGTTTTATTAAAATAAGAACACCATGTTGAATTTTAAATAATCTGGTTTTAGAAGTGTGGTCAGATTTACCTCCTGCTTTTATTTTTTTTCTGAAAATGAATGTGGTGTCTTTTGAAAATTTCCAAGCTGCTCCAAATAAGGTCACGGTCATCATCAAATGCGATGGTTCAACTTTTAGGGATAGCATCTGTGAATACACTGGGCATTGTACATGAGACTTTCTGAATGTCTTCATAGAAATGTTTCAGCGGTCCTGAAAAGTTCTCTGTGTCTTAAAAATCCATCTCTCTCTATGAAACAGAAAATAAGCGTTCTCTAGCATTGGTAAGCCTCCCAAAAGAGCAGTCACATCAGATACAAGGCTAAAGGTCATCATCACTGCGCCAGAAAAGGCAGAGAGAGTCATTAAAAGTTATTGAGGAAAGGTAATTATTTTTTTTTGGACAGGAAGTTCATGTGTCTACGTGCATCCTTATTTTTTCTATGTAAATCAAATGTATAATACCTGCCTTTGTCAATTCCTTCAGTTTCACCAAAGGAGTATTTTAGAAATTACAGTGGTTTAGGAAGGACAATATTTGATTGTGTTGTAAAACACAGCTAGGCACTGTGAGGATGGCTCCTTTAATGAGTGGTAATATTTTCTAGTCTTTGATGGTTTTCCCCCACAAAGAAAGATACTATTGGAAGCACATCCCATTTAATTTTGAATACAGCTCTTAAAAAAACTAATAATTGTCTCCATATTATACCAAATCATGTAACATATACCAAAAAAAAAGCAAAACCGCCAATAATTTGAAGTATTGGATTGGAAAAGTGTTGACTTTTTACTAATTAAATTAAACAACCTGTATCTAAGTATTTCAGATGTTAATGAAATGCTCTTATAGCCAACACTGACCACATCTCACCTAACATAATACATTTTTCAGCATAAAACCCCCCAGAAAATTATACATTTTATGGTTTTTCTTTTTCCATCCAGGGAAACCTAATTTAAAAAATGGGACAAAGCAAAATGATCTTTTCAGGTTATATGCTTAATTGTGACAGGAACAACAGTTCAGCTCTTATCTACACGTGGAATATATTGATCTGAATAATGTAGTGAACTTTGTTATTCTTTGTGATATGTGGGCTGCAAGGATCATTAAGTTTCTTCTTGTTAATACTTTGGAAACACTGCTTTGATAAAGAAATGGATTGGAGGAGGACTGAATCATCAGTACAAAGGTATGAAATACGAGCAGCAGAGAGCGTAACGGATGGAGAAATCCCATTTTCCAGATCTTTTCCATATCTTTAAAAATGAAGAATTTTCTTCTTCCCCCACTTAAAATGCTGGAATTATTTCTAAATATTTTATAATACTTATCAAGGAAGCCTCCTGAACCACACCCCTCCTCCTCCTCGAAATATTTAGACTTAAAAATATGTATCGTATTCAGCTTTTTTAACCTCCATTTCAGTGTGACTAACACCTGCCTATTGCTAGCTGGTCTCGCTGTTACACTCCTCTAATCAGAGACAAAGCTCTAAGCAAAGACAAATAGTACAAAAATCAAACTCCTATGACTTTTTTTCTTGTCCCAGTGGAGTTTGCCATTTGAAAGTCTTGGTCTTCAAGACACGAAAGAAAAAGGTGTCTTTTTAGAGACATCTCTAACTCCAGGAAACATCTAACTACGGCTGTGTACTACCATGTGCAGCTTCACTTATAAATGAAGAAAGGCAGCAGCGATCTCCAGTTTTCTGCAGTAACAGAAGATCCAGCAGCTCTGTGAGAGGCACCCTTAGGGAGTCCATCCTTGCAACTCGAAAACTCAGGAAATCGGCTTCAGGTCCGTGTTTTTCTCTCTCAGGTGGGCAAGCTCCGAACGCAAGGCGGGAGGGCGGGGGCACAGCAGTGAACGCCCGCAAGGACAGTCTCACCGGGGCAAGGACTGCCCGAGGGTGACCCGCCCGCTCCGGGCGAGGCCGGCAGCGTCCCGCAACACCGTCAGACACTCCCGGCCGGTTTTTCACCCCAGCACCGCCAGACTCCGAGGGTCGAAGCTGGCATTTCGGGACGAACCCTCCGTTACCGCGCATTGCCTGCGCCCACCGCTCGTGCTCGGGCCGGGTCCGCCCTGACGCCCACCAACGGCCGCGGCTCGCGCTGCCGCGCCCGCGCGCGGGGGGGGGAGGGGCCCGGGCGGCGCAAGGAGGGAGGGAGGGAGGGGGCGTGAGGGCAGCCCGGGCGGCGCATGCGCGCTGCGGCGCTGGCCGGGCCGGCTGCTGGAGTGCGCATGCGGGCGGCTCGCGCAGGCCCGGCAGTGGCAGCCGTCACTCCGGCCCCTTCTCTCCGCTGCCACGTACGGGCGGCGGCGGCGGCGGCGGCGGCCGTGCCCGGGCTCGGACGGGACGGGACGGGACGGGACGGGACGGGACGGAGCAGAGCAGAGCAGAGCAGGGGGCTCCACCGGCAGGATCCGCGGAGGAGCCAGAGTAAGAGGGCGGGGCTGCTCGTTCCTTCCCCCCCTCCCCCCCTTCCCGCGCCGTACGCGGGGGGAGCGGCTGCTGCGTGTGGGGAGGTGGCGGGAGGGGTGGCTGAGGGCTGGGGGTGAGCGCACACACACACCGCCCCCCCGGCTCCAGGGGCGACGCGGCCCCTGGCGGAGGGGCGGGGAGACCCCTTGCCTGTCCCCGGCCGCGCCTGAGGGGGCTGGGACGGCTCTTCGGCCTGGGGAATCGGGGGTGAGGGCTGAGCAGAAGCCTTCCCTCCCTCCCTTGGCAAGGGCGGGGTGGGGGCGGCGTTCCCTTGCCCACCGAGCCTCTTTTCCCCCGGGGAGCCAGAGGAACGGCAGGCTCGGCAGGGAATGGCCATGGTTTCTGCTCCTCATTGGGTCGGCCCTGCCCTTATCGGAACTGGAGAGAACTGAAGAGAGCTCTTCTTTCTGCTCCCCCCTCACCTCCCAGCTATCTAGGGAAAACTCTCATGGCTCCGTCGAGTGGGGTTTGGGAGGCAGTGCTGCTCGGCCCTGTTTCTGTATGCTTCACCATGTTCTTTGCCTCTGCTTTGACAGAGGGAAATGTGAAGCAGGAATGTCAGTTTTTCCCTTGCTTAGGCAAGGCTGTTTTTCTTTGCTGCATTGCAAAAAGGGTAGTGAAATCCAGCATGGCTGTGACATCATGGCTTTAGAAGGGATCCTAAAGTGCCTGACTTAAGTTGGACAGTCACTGTCCACATGCACCATTTAGATTGGTGCATAATATGAATAGAAAGTGAACCAAGAGGGGAGGAAAAAATCAGTACCTCCAAAATGCGTGTGGTGTACCAGGAAAGACATTAATGTTTTTTCCTTTGGTTGTTGTTTTACCCTCCCAACAAAGTAGATACTGTGATTGATTCTGTTAAAAAGATCATTAGTGTGCATTCTGGATGTCTTCTCTGAAAAACTCTGAAGGGAGTTATCCGTTCAGCTATGTCACAGTGAGGGCAGAAAAGCTTGAATGCTGTGTAATTCAATGATTGGAATATTTCACATAGTTTTCTGTAACAGTTGCAAGCAGATATAGTGTTTAGAATGTCTCAAAACCTGGACACCTTCAAGCAGAATGGAGAACAGGTGGATAAAAAAAAGTGCACTTAAATGCTTTCCTGTTACCTTTTCATAATTGTTGATAGACACACGGACTATTTCTGTGAGTAATATTGGGAAATAAGACATAGTTCTGTGAGTATATTACAGTAGCTGGTTTCCTTGCACAAAGATATAAATGATGCATTTGGTCTGTTGAAAGGCCACGGGAGCTCAGGTGTGTGTCCCCAAATGTGTATCTTTAGGAACTACAGATAAGGTTCGATTCTTACTGTTGTCAGTTTCTAAGTAGCTTACATTGTGATGCTAAAGAAGCAAAACCAGTGCCCAGCTCTAAAGTTTAAACAACATGAGATAGTAGCTAAATGAGCTCTCTAAGTTAGACCACTCTTAGATGCATTATCTGTGTCCTGTATTTGTCTACTGCAGTAAATTTTACCTGGAGCTGTAGCAAGATCGGGGTGCAAGGGGCACCATCTTCATGCATTACTCCTTTCATAAAATGTGAGTGAGGAATCAGAAAAGCAGTGCCTTCCTGTTCACCTGCTTAATATGTCACAACAGTCTTACCCTCTTCCTGTCAGGAGCGAGTACACCCTTTTTTAAAGGTGAATGTTTCATACTCAGGAGGAGGGAAGCAGCTGCCAGCCTCTGAGAAGCAGAGAGGGGCTTTGTCCCTTCTCTGGGCTTTTCTTGCTTTCTGCTTCTGTCCTGTATGTCTTGTGCCTGTCCGTTCCAGTTTACTTCCAGTTGAGTTGAAAGAGGAGAGCAGCGAAGCCCAATTTCACATGAATGAGAAGAACCTCCTTTTTCTCTCTGTTTAGCAGTGAATCATCTAAAAATCAGAATATGGATGTTTGAGATTAACCATGTGTGTGTGAAAGAGAGACAAGGAGGAGAGTGCCAAGTAGGGTACGCCCATGGGGTGGGAGGGAGGAGCACAGTTATGTTCTCCATTGACTGGTCTGTGTGCTAAATCATTGTCTTGTAGCTCTGGTCATTAAGCACTTGGGTAATAAACAGGTGGACTGCATGAACTTCACACAGCTTGTCACCTGGGCTTTCCAGCAGAAAAAGCACAATCTTAAGCTGATTGAGGGTGGCAGATTGTATTTTTTAAGTGGTTGTATATTTCTGACTGCGTTTCCTTCTTGCCCACTTTGGTGGCTCATCCTGTAGGAAAGGCTCCTCTCCTCTTGGTAGTCTGTCCTAATGCTGTGCAGTCTGTCCTTGAAGACATGCTACTTAATGCCACAGAGAGTTCAGCCTTAAGATAAGAAATGGACTTCTAGGTTTTTGTACTGCTAAAACAATCAAACTTTATTTTCTTTAACTTAACCTGGGGTTTTAAGATAGAGGCCATACAAATGAATATTTTGAAACTGTTGGGGAAGATCACTGTCCTGGAAAGGAACGCATTACTGTTAGGAATTCCTACGTGCAGTTACAAACTTTAGAAAAAATGAACTCCTCCTGTTATGAAATTAAAACCCTTGTTCAAGATCTGTTTTAGCAGAGCTTCAAACTCTACAAGACTCAGAAATGTAAATCTGATTGTTACATTATAGATAAAATGGTGACTTTTTTTAGTTGGGTATAGTCATTAAGATGTTCTAAAGTGAAAGAATCATGTGAAGTGTATAATTCTAAGGAAGCATGACTGTAAATAAATATTTCTTGGATTTCTTTTCTGATGCAGCTTCCAGTTTTCTGACACTGACAGTGCATGGAGGCTTATCCTAACTCTGTCCTGAAGTGAAGTGGGAAATCTGTCTACTAATCCAACATCAGTGAGTCAGACAAGGTAATTATAAATGTATGTTTTTGGAAAGGAGGTGAAAGAAAACCTGTGGATGGATGCTGTTTTATTTTTTTAATGCTTTAAATTAAAAAAAAAAAAAAAAAAACAGACAAACAAATTCTGTAAGACCCTATGCTTTTACAACCAACTTAAGGTGTTAGGCTGAGTTGATGTGACTGCAGGCAAGACTCTTATGTTGCAAAACACAAATAATGCATTAGTAAGCATTAACGATATTATAAACGTCACTGTTTCATCATAGTGTCTCAGCAGCAATCTGACTGTGTTAATTGCAAGTCCCTTTTCTCTGCAATTAGATTGTATCCACCTACCTCCTCTTATGCCTGATTTGGGGACTGAGTTTTGTTCAGTAGTTGCTTGTCTCTTTTTTTGGACGTCATTGGGCTAAACAAAGGGATTTGCATGAAATGTTTGCTTTATATTAAGTTAATTACCAAAAAAGCCCAGAAATTGCATTACAATCTAGAGATAGCATCATACTATATATTTTTCATGCAGAACATTGCCATTGAAACAATAGAGTTAAATACATGTAGATGCATCAGAGTATGATATATCAAAGGCTTTAGTTGAGTGTCTTGTTTCTCTGGTAGGAGAGAAGTAATTTTCAATGTAGTACTTTAAAAGTAGACTGACCAAAGCAAAATTCAGTTTTGTCATAAAGCACTGTGTTATAACATCCTTAAAGGGAAGGCAGAAACACCTGCGTATCCCTACCAAGAGTTCTTTTCGCACAAGAGAACAAACAGTATGCTTGCCTGCATGTGGCTTTGGAAATGTCAATTTTGATGGGTAGGGCTGCCTACTTTTAAGATCTCCAGTATTTGTACTTCAGATGTTAAGATAACTGATTCTTTAATTGTTCCTCATTCCACATTTATTGTTTTAGCCCTGTCCAAAACAGTGAAGAGAGAAAGGGACATTTGACTAACAATCTAGATATTTTTTTTTTCTGTTCCTCTGCTCAGTAACTATTCTGTAGTTTCAGTTTCAAACATAAGGCCTTTGTGTACTTTAATGAGAGATGCCTCATACGAAGTGATAGTTTTAAAATTGTCTTATGCAAAGTGTTAAAGATAGAACTCTGAAGTATATCACAAGATGGCTTTGTTGCACTTCCTTTTAAGTTGGAGCAGTTGTCCACCTCTCTTAAAGCACTGAGTGTAACTGACTGTTCTGACCATGCACACTGCATAACAAACTTGTGGCTCTGAGCCTAATGAGTAGCTAATGTGTGGTCTGTTGCACAGCTTTTAAAATTCTGAAATCTTGGCTGAAACATCTCAGTCAAAATTTAAAAAAAGGAAAAATTTTGTGTCTTGGTTTCTGAAGAGAAACCCTCAATGTATTCTGATCATGCATATAATAAAATCAGTGTTTAGCTCTTCATTTATTCATGAAATAATGCATGATTCAACTTGATCCCCCTAGGAAAGCCACCCTACCACCTAAAATCTTTAAGTAAGATACTTTGTTCTGGCAGTCTTTAAAAAAAAAAAAAAAGCCCTTTGCTGGTTATCATAATTATGGGGGGATGTAAAAATGATCTAGTAGGGTGATAACGTAACCAATATAATGATGTAAGGCTGACTTTTGCTGCAGTTTCACTTTCCCTGAGAGAGATGTATGCATGTATCTCAAAAGCAAATCCTGGGGAATATTAGTTCCTCTGTAGCTTTTTTCTGTGACAGTTTGTAGCTGATAGTTTACAAAAAAAAAAAAAACACCCAAGTTTGGAATTTCTAAATGTCACACATATTTAAAGGCTGTCTGACTTCTAAAAAAAAAAAATCTTTGCTTTTAAATTCTGAGCACTGGTAACTGTGATAACTCTTAATTTTTTAAGTGTTGGATCTTAAAGTTCTTCTTTGCCCATGAGCTCAGTTAATGTCTCGTGTACTTCATTGTTTGAGAAATTAGTGCATCATAGAATGTGTCCGAGAGGTTCTCCGGAGAGCTGTCTAACGGATGGTTTCAGAACTGTCATCAGATAGGCTTAAATAACTAACAGTTTAGTGTTCTAAAATGTTTATAATGTTTTGTCATTAACAGGTCTGCAGACAATTAAGGAATCCACCATGAATGGGCAGCTGGACTTAAGTGGGAAGCTGATCATCAAAGCTCAGCTTGGGGAAGATATTAGGAGAATTCCTATTCATAATGAAGATATCACCTATGATGAATTGGTGCTGATGATGCAAAGAGTCTTTAGAGGAAAACTTCTGAGCAATGATGAAGTTACAATAAAATATAAAGATGAAGGTAAGGTTTCATTACTACTGTTGTTCTGATACGATTTATCTATGGACAGAAACTGTCCAAATTCAGTGGTAAATGCACAGGATTTCTTGTGAAATCCTTTGAATGAGACAGTAGAAGCTGTATCTCTTGTGGTTATGGTGTCTCGACATAGTATTTCCTCCAGTTTTTCTGAAATGTTGACTATCTGAACATTGATTTGTTGCTATTGCAGGAAACTGATGCTATTACAGGTTTCTCTTCTGTCCACTCATTTAACCATTTTTCTGTTTTCAGTGATAAAGTGGGTTTGAAGGTGAGGAGCGAATAAACGCGTGGCTTCATGCAAGCTCCTTTAAGACTTTGAAAACTCAATTTATGTAGTAGTAATTCTTGATTATGTTTTCCTCCATCAGTAAAGATTAGAAGAAACTTTTAAATTAACCTGAAATATTTATTAAAAGTGATCTTTCTTCTGTGTGACAGTGTGAATCTTTTTGACATTGGTTGTTTCAAAGAAGATCTCGATTGTTAGTGCTAAACAGATGCAACCTTAAGAAAGAAAGGCTCCACAGAAGGAAAAGCCCCTTGGCTGAGATGCATGGAGAGTTGTGGTTCAGAGTGTTTTTCCTCTTTGAATGTCACTGTGGAGCATAGATAAGTTAGTTAATTTGGGACAGGGGTGGTATTCATAAAATGAAATTCATAATGAAGTGATAAAATCCCAAGTCTCTTAGATGAAAGATTGATAATTATGCTGGTGTACAGTAAAAGGGCTACATTACTGACGCATTCAGGTTCATTTTTCTTAATGTCACTCTGAAACTTTAGCACTGTCTGTGGTACCTCAAATGTCAAATAACTTTTGTTCATACATCTAGGCAATAAAATTTCACTTTGAATAACCCTGAGACAGTTTTTTCAGGTTCATGAAGCTTTTGAGACACTGCTTATCAAAATTGATATGCAGTGAAGGGCTAGTATTTTGGGTCTTGATCTCTAGTGGGAGAGACCTCAGTGGATTTATGATGGTTCTGTTTCTCCTCTTATCACATAATCAATTTCTTTTTTCTTTCTGGAATGAGAAAGGTGAAAGGAATTTGATGGATGCTTTTTAATTAGGTTAAAGCTTCTAGTCCCCTTTTTTATTGCATTCTTACCTGTTCTTTAAGTATAGTTCTCTGGTTTTCTATATGCTTCTATCTCTTGTCTTTTTTTGAAGGTGATAATGGTGTATGATAGAGACTGTAATTACAGTTTCATTCTTTGTTTATCTTCCACAGCCTAGAGACCTCCAACTTTTAATTTCTGCTTTGTCTCAGAATGTACTACTTCTCCACTGTGATGTGAAATTTCAGTATATGTTATCGAAGCTGATCATCACTAGTAAGAATGTTTAAACATTGTTAATATCAGAGGAAGTTGCAAGTGATTAAGGAAAAAGTTAACAGAACTAGGTTTCAGTTTGATTATCATATGAGGACCGTGGTATTGACTTTGCTTCAACTAAGCGAAGATTCTTCTTCAAATCTGTTTCAGTAATTAGAAGCATTGGAATATACATTCTAGTTATTTCTGTTTTGTTATTTATCCCTCCAGACCTGGAGGAATGCTTGTCTTCAGCTGTTACGAGGAGGTATCTTAAGTTGGTCTCAGGTTTTCCACTACTTCTGCAACCTCAATCTGGGTCTTCTCAGAATTCATGTGCACATACCTTGAGCGTTTAGAAGAATGCTTCATCTACCCCCTCCTGGTTTAGATTCTTATTGCTGTAACACATGAAGCTAGTTATCTTCAGTCCTGGATAGGGGATTTTCTACTTAAAATTTCTTCAAAATACTGTGGCTTTGTATCTTCATCAGACTGTCATGATCCTTGAATCTTAACCATTTTTTTTTTTTCCCCCCCCAAACTTGTGTGCTTAATTGGAGAGGCTAGGAAACTTTAAATCCCAATCCTTCTGTCTGGATTTGTGGACTAAGATCATCAGAAGCATATTCCTAAATTATATTTATGTTGTGTGATGCTTTTATTAATTACCAAGGAAAAGAAGTTTCTGTTTGATTACTGCTTTGTGGAGTTAGGTTTTATATTCAAGCTGGGCGTCTTTCAAACTTCTGAACCAAGGAAATTGTGCTACTAGGTAGGAAACCATTTTCATGTCCTACTTGAGGTTCTTGAATATGTAGTAAAACTCAATGTATGCAAAAAACCCAAACCAACCAGTGAGGACTTCTAGCAGTGAATTTATATGAACCAAAGAGTAGAATTGCATTTTAAGCACCTGATGTTACTGAGTTATATATGCTAAAGCCCCTGTGGAGCCAATAGTAGAAACTTACATTTTATTTTTTTTTTTTTTTATTTTTTAAGTTAGGCTTGAATTTAAAAGTAGAGTGCCTACTGTGAGATTGACCTTTTCATGTTCTTGTTCCTCATTACCTTTCAGTAGAAGTTGGTGTCTTTGTGTCAGAGCCAATAAAGAGTTATTAACTCATACTGCATGTAATCAAGGTGGTATGCTAGTCAGCAATGTCTCTACCTTTGGTAAATTTACCAAAGTGAAGGAAAACTACGTTTTTGGGGTGTGGTGTTTTTTTTTTTTTTTTCTTCGTTTGTGTCTTTTTGTTTTGTGGTTTGGTGTTTTTTTTTTTTTTCCCAAAATGAAATAGGAAAAAAAAAAAAAAGTATGCGTAGGTAAAGCTGGGAGATGAGGCATAGCTGGCAGGCTCAAGGATAATGAGGCAGATTTTTAACGTCTTAAATATTTCTAATTTCTAATGTCATAAAATTTGGAAGGCGTCATGGTAATGCAGAATTCATGGTAAAATACTTCCAGTCAATTGGTAAATTAAGGGAGTTACTAGCTTATACTAAAGATTAAAAAAAATGTAATTACTCTAGCAGGGAATATTTAGGGTACCAGGGAAATTGTAGAGAGTGAGAGCCATGTCTCTTGTAAAAACGAGAAAGGTAAGTTCCTGAAATAACAAGATTAGTAGAGAAAATAAAGGAATGTCTGTTTTACTTTTCAATAGAAAATAATTAACATTGTATATTCATATCTGCATCATGGTAACAGGAATTAAGCTTCATTGACATTCCTTAAAATGAGAAGTTTGTTTGATAAATCTAATATACTTGTCAGACTTCCGTATTGCTTGATGTATACATACACCTTATGAATCCTAGCATATGTTCTACTTGGGTGATAGTTTGATGGCTGTCAATACGAATCATAGAACTGACTTTATACATCTAACGAGATTCTGTACTTGGTGCTTTTCAGACTATTTTTCTGCTCACAATTTAAAACAGAAACTTTAATGATTATTCTTAATACCTTCAACATAAATGTTAAAGTAGATGAGGGAGAATAAGATGGAATGATCTGGATTCTTTTGGGTGACACTAATCCATGTAAACCATGTATATTTACATATTTTCATTTGGCTACATGGGATAAACTGTTTAGAACACACACCTTTGTTCGGGCAGTGAATTTGGGTATTGACTGGTATGACAGAAAAGCATCATAAGATGGTCTGCTGATGTTGTGAATTATCACTTCTTGTGTTACCAGCAGACTGGTATTCTATGGTGTCGTGGTTTGGGCCTGGTTGGCAGCCAACCACAGTGCAGCAGCTCTCTCTCCCTTCCCCTCCGGCAATGAGAAGGGACAGAGAGCCAGGCTTGGGGCTCAAGATAGGACTGGGATGGGGAAAAATTCCCCTTTATGATCACGAGCAAAAGGCAGACTCGTTAGGGGAAGAAAAAAAACCCATACATTTATTACAGACACTAACAACACATAACAGAGCAGGACAGTGAGAAGCATTGCCACATCTTGAGAACACCTTCCCCCCACCCCTCCCTTCTTCCCGGGCTCAGCTCTGCTCCCGATATCTCTACCTTCTCCCCCAGTGGCGCAGGGGCAGGGAATGGGGGGTGCAGTCAGTGCTGCCACTTCTCTTATCTTCGGTGAGGGGAGTGTCTGGAACTTGTTCCTCCTGCTCCATCGTGGTCCCCCTCTCACAGGAGACAGTCCTCCACAAACTTTCTCCGATGTAAGTCCCTCCCATGGGCCGCAGCGTTCCCCACACTGCTCCGTCATGGGTCACTAACTTCCTCCGACTAGATTCTCTCCCACGGCTGCAGCCCTTCCCGAGCTGCTCCGGCGTGGGACTCCCCACATGCTGCAATCCTCCCAGTGCTGAATTACAGCAGCGGGACTACCTTTTCCCATGAGACCCCGGCCTTCTTCAGGCACAGCACCTTGATCATCTGAGCAGGAGCAACAGGCCATAAATCAATGTCTGCTCCACCGTAGATCTCCATGGGTGGTGGTGGGGGGCCGCCCTGCCGTCTCCCCACAGGATCCAGGGGGGTCTCTGCTCCGGCACACCTCCCCCCTCCTTTCTTCCTCCGTTCCTCCCCTGACCTTGGTGTTCATGCAGCTGCAGCAACTCCTCCTCACCAGTCCCACTGCCCGTCACCACGTCCCTTCTTAAATACGTTATCGCAGAGGCTCAGCTGATGGGCTCAATTTCCCAAACAGAAGTGGAGCTGACGTGGAGCTGGGGGAGCTTCGAGAAGCTTCTCACAGGGGCCGCCCCAATAGCCCCCTCCCCTGCCACCAAAAAACTCCACCACTCACTCAACCCAGAACATATGGAATAGAAGGACTTTGTGTTAAGACACCAGTGGGTTTTGGTATCAGCATTTAGGAAGGGGTACTGAAAGGCTGGAGGAAGTGTTTGAGTTGGAGGGATGCCTCAGAGAGGCCAAAGAGAAAGGACTGTTTAACTTCTGAAAGTTATTTGTTTAGAGTCTGATTGTATAAGTTGTTAGGAAACATAATGGCAAATGGGGACCTATTACCCCTCCCGTTCTTGGCACTGGTGAGGCCCCACTGGGAAGTCTGTGCTCAGTTTTGACATCTGCACCCCAGGCTAGGAAGACTTGGAGAAGCCCAAGAGGGTCCAGCAGGATGTGATGAGGGCCTAGGGCAGGTGGCCTGCAGGGAGCATTTGGGGGAGGTGGCAGAGGAGGCTGAGGGCAGAGCTAAGAGCAGCCTCCAGCTAACTGAGCTGGAGGTGCAAAGACCACGGAATCCAAACTGGGTTTGGTAGCACCAGATGGCAGCAGTCATAAACTGGAGTTTGAGAGATTGAGCCTGAGTTTTCACCAGGAGGGCAGTATGTCACTGGAGCAGGCTGCCTAGTGGGGTTTTGAGACTCCATTCTTGGAGGTTTTCCAATCTATGCTTAGTAAATCCACGACTGATACTTCTGTCAACCAGTGTATTCTGAGACTGTGAAAGAGCACACAGGACATAGGATTAAAAAAAAAAAATAATCTTTGGACACAATATTTCTTTCAAGAAAATGTGAAAATTATTTTATTTGTTATCGGCTTGTTAGTATTTGTAAGATTTTTTTGTTGTTGTTGTTGCTGATGTTTATTTTGTTAGAAAGCAACTTCTCTGAAGGCTGACAGGCATTGTTAGGTGTTATTAATGATACTATACTAAGAAAACCTTCAGTTGCAGAGGTGTTAATTCTAGTCGGGTATGACAAAATTAGAAAATGTAATTCATCAGGTTTTGTGCTTTTTTTCAACTTGCCATCATGTGTTTTATGACCATTTATTTGAAAATTTTAATCATAACTTTTATACAGTTGGAACTTTGTCACCGATGCATAAGGAATAGCTCAGAATCTTTAGGCAGTCATCTGTAATTAAAAATACCGTTTCTGTATCTGTCCGCAGAGCCTCCTTGTACCAGTGATCTAGGGAGGAACATTTGTAGCCTCGAGTTGGGTTTGTTCCAAGCTGTGTGTCATTTGTCTAACACTGTTGCTACTGAAGGTGAAGCTTCACTAGATGGTGTTTCATCTCAGTTCCCAGCTATCAAGCTGTTCTGGAAGGAGGGGGTCCTGCTATCCCTTCTCTTTCCTTCTGCCAGTACACAGGTTTTCCTGATAATGCATTCCCACTCTTTGCCCTGCTTAATTTGTGCTCGTTTAATCTATTGATAATCTGTTGACTGTGTTAAAACAGCAGAAAAATCCATCCTGCCAAAGAGAATAGTCTTGTTTTATCTGTGATCTTGTCATGTAAGCAAAGATGTTAATGTGGATTGCCTTGACTCAGTTTAAGAGTTGTGACAGACCAGACTTAATGGAAATGTGGTATCTCTTTTGGATATTAGTAGGATTAAAGGTGTTCAGTGCTTTATGCATAGCCCTTTGTATTTTAAGAATGAAGGATCTCATATGGTTCTAATGTAGTTTCTATGACTGACAGTAATGTTCAAATTCATTAGGATGCATTGGGATGGGTGTTCCTCTGAAATCTAACACAAAAATAAATGGTGTTGAGGCTTCATGTCAAATTCCTGGTTTGAGAGAAAAGGTCTCTTCTGACTACCTTGACATCTTTGTTTTCATTCTTATTTATGTATTAAGGCTGGTAGATATTCTCACTGTTCACTTTTACGCAGGAACTTTATTAAATCACTCCACTGTTGAAAATCAGTTTTGTACCTCAGTGTTCTGATTAAAACCTGAGAAAGTGTTCTAGTCACTTAAAATTTTCCTTTGTTACTGTGTGTGTTTTGTTTTTTAAAAACTGAACTGGGATTGTCTTGTGCCATCTATTTTGACTCTCTTGTCTGTTCATGAACAGCACAGTTTTGGAGCCACTTGGAGTAGGCATGTAACTCATGTAACTTTAACTGGCAGCATCATTCTTTCTGGCATTGGACTTTGAACTCTTAGCTCTAGTGGTTCATCCTGTGTGTAAACATAAAAGAATGATGAGCTTTATGGAACTTTCAAAAGATTAATGCCAGAAGGTTCCCTTTTGGAGCCAGTCATGCTTCTGTCTTACCTTCTGTGCATCATTTTCCTGCTCGCTGACTTTTGCACTAAATTAATAACCTTTTTTCCCAGTAACTTCAGAATCAAATAGGGAAAGTTATTTTTGAGTAATGAGGTAATACTTCTGCCCTAGCGTGAATTTCTGTAGTTAATAGGCTTTGCCTTTAATGTAACTTTTTTGTGTTCTTTTCAGACGGAGATCTTATAACAATTTTTGATAGCTCAGATCTTTCCTTTGCAATTCAGTGCAGTAGGATACTTAAACTGACATTGTTTGGTAAGTATAGAAGATTGTTTTTCTTTTTCATCTTTTTAATGATATTTATTAAAATTCAGGCAGTGAGCTTCACTGAAAGATACTAAAAGCTTTCAGTTTGTTACCTCAGAACGAGGAAATCAGTAAACCGAAAATACTGGATTAATACATGATATCTGTTTTCTCTCTGGATGTTTCATGTGACATCTGAATTTACAGAAATGGAAACTATTTCTTTGTATAAGATTGCTTAAAGTATTTGGCATACTTATATATGCGGTCAATGTTTTTTTCTTAATGTTATTTTCCATGTTATCTTCCACTCTAGCATTTGTGGTTTTTTTCCACAGGTGCGTAAGAAAATGAAGATGATAATTATCTTGCAGTGTTACTAGTACACTGCTGAAAACTAACATTAGTTGCTTAAAGTTGAATAGATTTTGGCCTTTGTATAAAATAGTTCTTTGTTGTCAAGCTGCTATTGGTAAATTAGCACATAGTTCTGAGGAATAACAAGCGGCCTTTAACTTGGATGCTGACCTTATTCGTGAATTGCAGCAGTGTTGTGTATGCTGCGTTAGTTCTAAAGGAGTGTGGTAATTGTATTTTTCAGAGTATATTCACAGAAATGAGTAAACAATGCAGAGCAGAAATTTGCTGCAGACTTTACTCTGCAGTTCTGGTACTGTGGATTGTGCTGAACTGAGATTGTGTTAAAGGAACAGAAAGCTCAAGAACGAGTTCAGTCTGTGTTGACTAAACTTTGTCACTTTAAACTCCACAGAGGATGATGATGATGCTACAAGCAAGTAAAAGTTGGGACTTTTGGTTTTTTTCTTCCCAATTTTAAACTGGATGTCAAAATGTTACTACACTCTTAAATGTATCTAATTGCTGTTTTGCAGTGAATGGACAACCAAGACCCCTAGAATCTAATCAGGTGAAATACCTGCGCCGAGAGCTGATAGAACTTCGCAATAAAGTCAATCGTTTACTGGACTGTTTAGAACCACCAGCTGAACCAGGGCTTTCCACTAATCTGCCTGAAAGTGGTAGGCAGCCTGGCAAAGAATTTTTTGGTTTGATTTGCAGAGTTGTGTGCAGTTTAGCAAAGTTAAAAATGGACGTGTGAATACTGGTTGTGATCGTTCTTAAATGCTGCTTGATGGCTCAGAACTTAATTTTTAATGCTTCAGTTATTTCAGAGGCAGAATTTTTATGGAAATTATCCAGAGTGAAGCACTAAGTTAGCTTAAGCATAAAAATTCGAAGTCTGAGGTTTTGTTGCAATGTGTGAAAATGCTCTAACTAACACTTGTGAGTCACAACAACGTTTTGAGAGGGCTTTGAGCTGAATTAATAGTTTGTTGTTGCTGAAGAGTTCCTGACCCCAGCTGAGCACTCCCACTGCTTACTTTGGGCTAGCTCTGGTGCTTATCTTGTCATGTTGCTAAGCAAGTTCGATTCGCTAAAACAGTAAAAAGCGGATTCAGCAAAAAATTATATTCACTTTTTTTGCCAGGTTAGGAAATTGAATCCACACGTTTTGAGCTCAGACCAGCATCAGAGCTGTCTCAGGGTAAGCAGCATAAGGGTGCAGGTAGGGGTGGGAAAGGTTACCGAGGGAGGGCAAAACAGGGAAGGAAGTCTTCTTATCCCGGTTTTGAGGCATTGATCTTGTAGTTTAGGGCTGTGGTACTGTAAAAATTATACCTCAGTGTGCTTAACTACAGATCTTGGGTGAGCTGGACACAGAAAATAATGACACGAAGTCATGTTCTGAGTAAAGAGGTGAACTGAGAACTCCAGCTGTTCTTTTAGGAAACGCTGCTTTTGTATTTTACGCTTCAAGGTTTTATCGGTTTTGTTTAAAAAATCCCAGCCTCTGTTCCTACAATATAAGCAATTACTAATTTCAGTGGAATACTGTGGATTCTGGCTGTAAACCATTTGGAGGGAAGTTAGGGTGGTGATCTTAGAGTGTAAACAAAATTAGCCAGTTTAAACCCTATCTGCACTTGTTTGTTTTTAAGAGAAAATGTAGGTTTTTACTAGGTAAGGGGTTTCCGAGTGATTCAGTGTTACTTGTATAACTGCAAAGAGGTGAACTTCACCTGTCAGTTTAGGAAGAAGTCTGGGAGAAGGGGATGGAACAAAACAAGAACTGCAGTTGATAAAACACTGTAATCAACTGGAACCTGTCCTGTAAGTTTTCTTAATTTTGAATTCTCTGTAGGCAAGTTATACCCGAACAGTTTGTTTGAAGCAGGAGCCTTTTACCTTTGAATTTAAGACAAAGTGATGCTTGATACTGATACTCCACAGTGATAGTGTATCTTTAAATAACTCCAATGAAACCAAAGTTAAAAAATTAAAAAAAAAAAAAAAACCACAACTAGACAGTTATGAAGTTGCTGTAGTACAATATATATGTATCATGGTGTTTCGGGTCTTAAGAATGAATAACTGGGCATTTTGTTTTGTAGATGCTGTAGATGGCAGGGAGGAAAAGGCTGCTGCTGCTGACTCTAATGTTAAGCCATCCACGCAAGTTATAGCAGCGAGCATGTCCGCATTCGATCCACTAAAGAACCAGGATGAAATCAGCAAGAATGTCATGTCAGCATTTGGCTTGACAGATGATCAGGTGTCAGGTGAGACCACACCTTATGAGAAGAAAAGCAAAACCTGTTTGTAATCTGTTACAAATCTTGTTACAAATCAAATCTTGATTTGTAACAAAACATTTGTATTTTGGATGTATCGAGCTGTGTTCTGTATTCACTATTTCTTTTCAGAATTCTAAAACTTGATATGTTAAGGTGTTGTCACAGTTAGCTAACTTTTGTATACAAACTGTTGAAATGTTGCTGTTGTTTTTAGCACTGTGTTTTAGCTTGGAGTAGAAAATGGCTTAAAATTTTTTATTTGAATTATTTAAAGCTATTTTGTAGACTAAATTAATTGGTATCTGCCAATGATAGAAAAACAGTATCCACTGCTCTGCCCTAGGGTTTGATCTTGCAGTTCATGTTCTTGGCTTGTGTTTCTACTGTTTGGGTCTGTCAAAATGTTCTGTATGGCCCCGCCTTTTCTCTGTTTCACTTCAAAAGTAAAGAGTGTCAACTTCTTTACTGTTAACAGAAAGGAGTAACACAGTTGTCTGAATTATATTTATTCTTGAAGAGCTCTGTGACTTTTGGCCCTACCTGGTAGTAGAATGCTAAACATATAAAAACCGATTATATTAAACTGAGTGGAGTCAACTTAAAACAGGATAACTCAAATTATAAAAGCAACGTAGAATGTAATAGGGGGTGTGGTGCAGAATATAGCGAAGTGATTTTGCACAGAATCTGCATGGCTCTGGCAAGGTTTAATGTAGCATTGAAACCTGAAACTAGAACTGCTGTTAGCTAACAGGATTTGCTGTGTACTCTCAACTGCAGAGCAAGTAAACTTTATCTGATGTGTGAAGTAATGATATGGATGGGCTAACTAATAGCAACTGGAGCTTGTTTCTACAGTACGGCTGCCTTGGCAAAAGTGTGGAGTGAGAGGAGTCGGTCTGCACTGCGTGGTCACGCCTGTGCAGGATCCAGAGTTGTACCCGCAGACAGAGTGGTTGTCTTCAGAGGGGCACAGCTCCATGGATCAGGCCTATTGAGTGATCTTTTCTTCCGTGGCCCCTTTTGGGTATTGCCGCAGCACGGTTAATTCATGAACTAGATAAAGGTTTGGTGGTACTTGAAAACTTACAATGGGCTATCTCTGAACAATGAAGTGATAGAGTATGAAGTACAGCTAGTGAGAAATTGGAGCTAAGTTTTGAAGGAGTGGTTTTGTCTCTTGGTACAAAGCTGCAGTGTCAGTCAGAGCTTCGATCATAGCACCAGTGATACTTCAGTGTCTGTGTCTTCATAATTCTTCTGATAGAGTGAACTGACTCAACCGTGCTTTGAATATACAAAGAGCTTCACAGAGGGCCATTTAAGCAGGATATAAGAAATCCCATTTCTAAAGCTATAATCCTGCAGCTATGTATATAGAGGCAAACCCAAAAGTAGGCAGATTTGATTTAATTTTTCCCCTAAGAAGGGCAAAGTGCAAACATAATAAAAGGTTTATTGGATGCATATTTATACTGTGTAAATATAACGTTCTTAAAATTGAATTTGCAGCAATTCTAATACTTGTGCTTATCTTTAAGCACGGCCTTGATAGTAGTGTCTCATAGGTAGCATTCACATAGCTAAGAGCTGGAAAGATCCAGGTTTAAGCTCCCTTGTTTCTAACAAGGTATCTTGCATTTAGTTGTATATTATACATGTACACGTGCATATTTCAGAACTTCTTACTAATGTAGAGAAAATCCGAATTCTCCATTTCTATGCTTGCTTTGGGCACTAGGTGGAATATTGTCAGAATTGTCAAAGCAGACAATTGCTTTTAGACTGAAGCCTGCCATACCCTGTCCGGGTGTGTGATTTCGACACCTTCCTTGGAGGCTTTCTGTTCCCATGCTGCATGGCTGTTGGTAAAACTCTGTTGCCTGGGCCCAAGTGGGCCACAGGAAGACATTAGCGCGTTTGAACGGTTTCACGCAGCCTTTCGCCTTTGCCCTGGCTGAGAAAGAATATGTAGGTACGTAGGTGCATGTTCTGTCCAAACATAGCAAGCCTTCAGTGTACATGTGCAAGGCTAATGCTTGAAGCTGTAGGGAAAACATGTCATGGAGAGTTTTATCTCACAATTGGGTCAGGTTCCTTGGAAGGATGAAATTAGAGTGACCTAGAGACAGGTGGATCATTCCCCAAAGGAGTTCAGAAGTGCAAATATATTTCGTTTTCACTTGGGGTGTGACACACTCAGATGTAAATCTATGGAGAACTGAAAAAAATATTAAAACCTTTGCAAGGGAATGGTCTTGTATTAGACTTTTTTTTTTTTTTTTTTTTCAAACTCTCCGTTTGTTTCACATAAGTTTCACATTTTGTTCTTGCTCCTCTAGGACCACCCAGTGCCCCTGCAGAAGAGCGATCAGGAACGCCAGACAGCATCGCTTCCTCCTCTTCTGCAGCCCACCCTCCTGGTGTTCAGACACAGCAGTCACCGTACCCTGGCACGCAGCCCCAGACTGGTCAAGTGGAAGGTGAGCAGCGTGGTTTGCTGCTATTTAAGCCATGAGTGGTGGTGTCTGAATTTGAGTGATCAGTAGCTATGACTTCCAATTAGCAGACTCAAAGTCGATACCAACCTACCAAATCTGTGCCACTGAGCAGAACTTTTTTCCTTGCATGCTGTTCAATATAGAAACGGCAGATGGAGCAGTAGCTTTATTTAAAAGGGTGGGTGATGTAAGATGAGGAGGATTTTCATGGTACTGTTTTCTGCTTGCATCCATGCTCACTTTACTATAAGGCAGACTTACACACACTGCACCTATCTAAAGACCTTAGTTCATATCATACCCTGTGTATTGTGTCAAGCTTTCATTCAGCTAACAGTTTATTGGCTTGTGTACTCTGAATTAAAAATGTGGTTTACTCATCATTTCTATCTAACAAAACAAAGCCATTATTGCACTGCTGCTTTGCTGTGTACTGCTCTGTGCTGGTCAGGTTAAACCTTGTAACATGTGCTCTGTAGTTTTCCTGTGTAACACTCGAGAGCCTCAGCTGGCTCTCCTTTAAAGCTTAAGTTCTTAACGCTGGTATTCAAATTCCTTTGTACTATGCCCTTTTACATGTTATTTGACTTCAAGAAGAGCCTTATTCAGAGGTTTGCTACATTTGGGCATCATTTTTCTGTTGATATTTCCTAAGAGCACTGAGCCTTCAGACCCGCATAGTTCTGGATGAAACTGACTGTGGGGTGACTTGCATTGATATTACTACCTCTATACGAAGCACAATGGAAAGTTGTGTCTCTGTTAGTGTAGAAACAAGTGACAACCCTCTGCTGCTTTCTGTGCTGACATAATGCTGAGATCCATGGGAGAGACATTACTGAGGGGGTCAGGGTATCCACAGTGGCTTGGAATGCCTTGCCTGAGGGGCATCAGTAACATTTTGATTGAGCAGAGTATTTGAGCAACTTGTAGTTAGCTATAATATTTAAGCAGGGACAAATGCTGCTGGTTGTAGCAGAGCTTATAAAACACTTGTTTTGCCGCTTTCAGGTTTTTTTTTTTTTCTCCCCCTTGCATCCCTAAGAATTAGTCAAGTGATATAAAGAGACAGCAAGAGACATCTTTGTAGCTTAAAGGTACAACTGTTTAGCATTTCTGTGTGGAAGTTACTTTTGGGAGAAAGTGCTTCAGGTTCTTTTGTCAGCAGCCAGAAAAATTAGTATTAAAAAAAATACACTCTCAGCTACTGAACTTGAATTTTATAAATTTAGTCTTTTTACTTTACTTTAAACCTCATGCTGTGTTGTGTTAAAATGTTGATGTTAAACTAGAACTTAAACAAAAAAGTAAAACACATCCCTGGTTTCCCTACCAGCACTAGGTTGGAATCCTGAATGGCTGCTAACACTACGGAAGGGGAAAAGTACTTTTTTCAGCAAAACTCATCTTACTTGGAAAGAAGTTGTCTAGGCTCACATATCAGAGTAGATGTAATGATTCTTCTAAACTTGGGTCAAGGAAAGTATAGTGCCTCTTTTTTTTTTTTTTTTTTTTTTTGTAATTTAAACACTGAATTGTGCTCTACATTTGCCCAAGTCCTTTTCTTGCATGTAAAAGTACAACAGCACTAATTATGAAGGTTTTGGTCTGTAGTTTATGCAGTTTCTATTATCGCCACTGAAATATGTTAAGTATTGATTATATTTTCTTCATTTTATGGATGAAATAGGATGGTTCAGTGTCTGGGAAGAGATCAGAAGTCATTATTGCACTTGGTTCACCAGAAATACTAGTGAGAGCGCTTACGCTGCGCACTGCATGCGTACGGTAAATAGCAGTCTCTTACCAGAGCTGGGTCATGTACGTGTGGTTATCGACCTCTGAGATTCGCTTTTTCAGAAACTAAGTTGCTTTTATCCGAAGTGTTCAGAGACTTTCCTTTGAAACACGGGGTAGCTTTCTGTACTGGAATGTTCGACAGCACCTCAGTCCCAGGTAACCTGGGGGCCTGCCCTGCCCCGTCCTGCTGCCCCTCGTGCAGCCGCGACGGGAACCAGCGCGGGGCCATGGCCCAGCCAGAACTGTGGGTACGTGCCGCTGGTCCTGTGTTCAGCAGGACTGGCTGACACACAGGGCGCTGCTGGGGCAGAGCACGTTCTTGGTAGAAACTAGTTTTAAACCTAGTTTGAAAGTTCACTTCTTAAAAAAAACAAACCACCCCAAGCTGTGCTCTGCCCCCACCTTCCCAGTATTTTGAGGATACAAATAAAATGGTGATGCCAAGCAAGCGTCAATCGTTTTGGTATATCAGGGATTATTTTTTAATGGCATTCTTTGCCAGTAAATGATATGGTGATTATACTTGTTTATTAGTTGGTGTTATTTGTGAATACCAAGTCACCTCACCTCCATGTGTGGATACCAATGGTGGCTTGCCTCCCCTGATAAAGTTGTAAGCGTTCAGTAGTTGAATTAACTCCACAACAACGACGGTTCAGTGTAGCGCTGTCTCTTGCAGCACGCCTGTGCTGGCGTACCACTAAATCTAGTCACTGAACACACACGAGAACCAATTACATACAGATGTGGACACTTTTTTACTCTTGCTGCAATAGATGTAAAAGTTCATTCACGTCAGCACTTCATGACCTTCGAGGGAGAGGAATGTTGTGTGAATATGCCTGTTTGGTCTTTTTTCCAAGTCAAGCTAAAATGGTTGTTTCGGTGCACAGGAACAATGGTGAATGCTGGCAGATCTTTGCAATAAGCACTGCTAAGTACAAAACCAGACACTGATGGTGTAGCTCATCAAGTTTTCAGAGTAAAATTCTAGTGAGAGGGAAAACTCTGTGTGTTTAAGGACCCATAGGATCCCTGACTGCGTTCATGGCTGTAAATTAAGAATGTTTTCTTGAAGGGCACTGGAACACCTCTCTGCTCCTCGCTAACGCTCCATCCCTTGTGACAACAGCGAGCTGCCTCAGAAAGCTCTGGGAAAACTCCATGCTGTTTCTTTCCTTGCCCTTTACCCGGGCTCTCCAGCAGGTGCCAGTGTGCTCCCTGGGTTAGCCTGTAGGTAATTATCCTGAGGCAGCTGCCCCCCCCCCCGGTGGTTGTCCCAGAACTTCCCTGTAGCAACTGAGCTAAAGGAACAGAAACCAGACATTCTGAGTTTCTGATTCTTAATTATCAGGCTAACAGGCTTAAATTCTCTTCAAGCCTTGTGTTTAGCACGTTCTCCATCCCACAGTAGTTGCATACCAAATAGTATTTTGAACGCCTTGGTGTGAATGTAAAATACTGTTGCTTTCAGCTGCGAGTAATGCAGAGAAAAGAAGAAATAAGGAGTGATTTTTAGAGCAGTGTGAGCAGGGGTCTGGGAGGACTGGGAGCAGAGCCGAGTTGCCTTTTTCTCAGTACAGTTCAGAAGATACAGCTTACAGTGTATTTATATAGCCTGCTGATCTTTGCAGAATGAATAATAGTACAGTAACACTTTATAATAGTAAAGTTTCCATGTCTGTTCCAGTTCAGCAAAGCTTTAGTTTTGGCAGATAATTGGTTTTGTTCTTTGACTGTGCCTCTTACTAAACTGAAAAACAGCAGAAGCCTAAAGCCTAGGTTAAGTCTAAACAAATATTCTGCCAATAAATTGGAAACAGTGAATTTAGGAAAAACTAGCATCAAATTAGGATACCTTACCTTAAGAACGTATGGTTTTATTTTTGCTTTAGGGTGTATACCTCTGGGTCTCCTAAGGAAACTTGTCTTGCGACAAGTCAGATACTAAGAGATGGATGACTTTGGAAAATGTGGTCAGAGTAAATAATGTACCACTCTGCTTACAGTACTTTGGTGCAGAAATGGTCTTAAAAACCTACTGTAAACCGACAATCTGAGGACATGTTTAACTTCTGAAGTACTTTCGTTTACAGTGTAAATTCTGGAGCTGTTGTCAAGGTATTTGAGGATTTCTGCTCTGCTGCCCAGCAGAGTAGCACTGATTAAGGTGCATGGCTCCTGGCATCCTCTGAAAATGGGAGCTGGTACGCCTCACGTACCAAGTTTAGAACTCTTGATTCTGCTGGCAATAGATAAACGTCATTTAGTGTTCAGAAGGGCATGGTTCAGAAACAGAAATCTGTAGATTGATTCCAGTTGGTGATCAGGCGGAACACACATCCAAACTTCACTGTGTTCAGGTGGTTTTTAAAAAAACGTGTTTAGGCGCCGTGAGCGGGTTTGTTTCTGCCATGTTCGGACCGTTAGGACGTTGTTCGCTCTGTGTTTATAGCTGCAGCCAGGGCACCGAGCTTCAACTCGACGTGTTTCCAATCCACAGGTCAGATGTACCAACAGTACCAGCAGCCCGGGTACGGGGCCCAGCCGCCGGCGGCGCAGGCGCAGCAGCAGTACGGGATGCAGTACCCAGGTAAGCAGCGCTCCGGCCGCTGCCGAGCCGCGGCCCTTCTCCCGCAGGGCCCGAGGCAGCGCACCTCAGGGGCTGCTGGGGGGAGAAGCCTGCAGCTGCCTGTATCTGTAACGCGTAGCTGGGAGTCCTGGTATCTCAGTCCTGCTTGGTTGTGACCGAAAGCAGACTTCGTCACTGATCAGCGGAACGCGTTGGTAGAGAGGTAGGCAAAACGAATCCCGTGAAGTAGGAGCAATCTTGGGGCTTCACTTCTGCAGCCTTGGGCTTCTAGCAAGTGATTCCAACATCCCAGTTTAGTTTCCTTAAGTATCGGAGGTATAGGAAGATGGCCCCTATTTCTTGCATCTATAACGAACTCCATCTACAAAACTTAGTGGTGTGAACACTGATTAGAGTTGTCATTTAGTATATCCTTAGCTATTAGAAATACTGTAATTTTGGAGAAACTTTCAAGGGATAGTTTTTTTTTTTTAGTTGTTGACTTCGCTGATGCCTCAAGTAAAGGTGCCAGTAGACCTTTAGCAGAAGAATATTTTAGTGCAGTAGTGGTTTATGTGCAGTCAGATATGAAAAGCTGGCTTTTGCACATACCCAAAATAAACCTGACTTGAGAACTCTTAGTCATTTCAAAGCAGCTGGCATCTAATAATGCATAGTATATGCTAAGGGTCATGATCCAGCTAAAGTACAGGGATGAACCTGTAACAGCAGATTCCGTAACAAATTGCGAGTTGCTTAATACTTCTAGAAGATGACATAAAGCATTTGTCATTCCTTGTTTTACACAACCTTCCTCAAACTAAACAAGAGACTGCCATACCATTAAGTGACTCGGAATGGAGCCTGCTTTTGGTGTGCAGTACATACAGTGGGAGTGCGTCAGTTTTGATGCAGAGGAGAACACTTGCAGAGCTTATGAAGAAATACCGTGTTTGTTTTGGCTAAGAACCCGAGAAAACCTGGAACTGAAGGTTTGTGCCTCGGCCCTTCTTCCTGTGCACTGTGCGAGAGCTGGTCGATTTGGGTCTCTAAATGGTATCTTGTTCTCTGCAGATGTCTCACCCCCACATTTGTAATTAGAAGACAGTGACAGACTTTCTGAAGTCTGATTTCAGAAGAAGTAATGTGCCCGTTGGAAGTAGAAGGGTCTATCTGACTTTAGGCTTAAAAACTGAGTGGGGGAAAAGAAAGGCGTTCCCCTCTGCTTTCTAGTCATACCCTACCAACATCCAATCCGTTATTTTACTGGAGAAGCTCCTGTGAAAGCTGTAGTGCAATGGGAGTTCTGCATTCTAATCAACCTCGTCCTCAAGTAAGAACAAATCACCCCCAGAACTAATCTGGGGCTCCTCTGTTTCTCATAACTTTTCACGGTTAACCTGATCTTTCAGCAACAGTCTTTTTTGAGGACCAGTGACAGCAGCCTTTGAAGATCCTGACTCACAGGATTTTTTTTTGTTTGTTTTGCTGCTGTCCCCAAGACTCTTGTCTCCTTTCAAACCCCTCTCCCCCCAGAGCAGGAGCCAGTCCCACTCTTGTAGCTCTGCTAGGCAACCGTGGGGCTATTGATTCACGGTAGTAAAAACGGAGCCTTCAGAGGTTTGTCTCGTTGAGTAAATTTTGATCCCAGTTTCAAGGTGAGTTTACTCCAGTGCATCCTTCAATCCTTACTCTTTCCGTTTAGGGCTGTGCACTTTTAATAATTTGTGTGTCTGGTGTTTAATGCTGACAGGATTCCAGTCACTGGAGAGGTTTCATTGCAAGTAGCTGCAGGTGTGTTTCATGATGGATAAAAGTAGCTATGGACTTTGTGTCATTTTAAAGTCTTCAGTAAGAGAGATTCCTTTTGGAGGCTGGTTTTATACAGACCAGTCGCGGTTGGGACACGTTAAACTGGACGTTTTGTACTAAAGTATTCTGGTCCGCACAACTTTTTCGTATTTAACCCCAAAGAGCTGAAACCACCTGTGGTTTAACCAAAGGTATGCCTTCCATTAAGCCCTAGCCGTATTTTTGTGACGGTTCAGTTTTGAGTTTTTATTTGGGAAGAAGGTTGCATCTTGCCTCGTTTGCCAGTGAGCGCTTTTCATTTCTCCTGGGTCCCGATGGTAAAATACTAGCTGTCATTTTTGAATGCCTTGCCAGTCGCGGGGAGACTCTTCTCCAGCGCCTGTTTTCGATGGGGCTGGGCGGCGCGCCGGGGGGCGCCGGGGGGCCGGAGCCCCGGCCCTGGCCTCTCGCCTTTTCGGCGCTCGCCGGCCTGGCCGTGTGAGGAAAGCCGAGCTCCGCCGGCGCCCCTCACCCCGCCTCGCTCTTTGCCTTTCCAGCAGGCTACAGCCAGCAGCAAACCCCCTCGCAGCAAGCCCAGCAGTTCCCGGCCTACAGCCAGCCGGCCGCCCCGGCCCCGGCCCCGGCCCCGGCCCCGGCCCCGGCCGCCGCCTTCCCGGGGCAGCCCCCGCAGCTGCCGGCGCCGCAGTACGCGGGGGGCAGCTACCCGCCGCAGCCCTACACCACGCAGGCCTCCCAGGCCGGGCCCTACAGCGGCCCCCCCGGCTCCCAGGCGGCTCCCGGCACCTTCCAGCCGCGGCCCGGCTTCACCCCCCCGCCCGGCAGCACCATCACCCCCCCGCCCAGCGGGCCCAACCCCTACGCCCGCAGCCGGCCCCCCTTCGGCGCCCAGGGCTACACCCAGCCCGGACCCGGCTACCGGTAAGGGGGGGGCCCGCCGGGCACCCGCCGGCGGGGCTGCCCCCCCACGGACTCCGGGGTTGTTCAGCGGAGGTTCCGAACCCGAACCCGGAATGAGGCAAAACCAGAGCTGTTGATTAAACTCCGCGGGGGGGGGGGAGGGCAGCGACCCAACGGATCTTTCCTGCTTTCAGTTGTATCTGCTTCCTAGTTTAAGTTGGGGCTGGGGTGGTTTGGGGCAACGCTACCTAAAGGTCTGTAAAGTGACTCACTTTCGAGCTTGCCTTGTTTGGAGGGTGCGAGGACGGTAGTTGGAAGTTTAGCCCACTTCTCAGGCTTGTTTTTACTAATACCATGATGTACTAAATTAGATTCGTTCTGGAGGTAAAACTAGATACCGTGTATTATAAATTGTAATGCTCACATGGAAAACTAATAAAAACCCCTGAATCTATTAAATGCCTGATCTTGATTTTCGAATTGAGGTAACACTGAAGGGGACGGAGGGGTCGGGCAGGCCTGGCAGCCGGCTGGGCAGATCCCAGGGTAAAGATCAGCGGCGCCCGATCAGGTTTGTAGACGAAACAGATTTTGAGGTGTGTAAATGGCAAAATGTTGCCCCTGCAGATCGCTTTTGCAGAGGTTATGCTGCAGTCTCGAGGGTTTGGCCCCGCCTGCTGTTACTAATTGCCAAGTAACCCTTTTACCAAACGACCAAGAAGGAATCAATGCATTAAATCTTAGAGCCCCCTACCAATTTCACTTTAACAAGGGCAGGGGGAGAACTGGTTTATGACTTTAAAATTTAGGCCAAATACATTGTTGGGGGTTTTAATTTTTTCAGAAGAACTCTTAAAAAGGAACAACTTTCCACAGGTTCTTTGCCACCCAGAAAAACTTGGGAGTGCAACTCTAGTGCCTCAGTTTTGAGCCAAGAAAAAGCAGATCGAGAGCTGTAACAAATTCAATAGACCATATAACAGCAGAGGGCAAACCATTCTCCCAGTTAACATTTTCCATCTTTGGATTCTAGGAATACATAAAACTAAGTAGGGAATAGTAATAATAAAAAAAAAAAAAAAAAAAAAATGGAGCAAGCTGCCTGAACTCTCCTAAAGACAAATTAGGAAATAAAGTCAGTGAAAACATTCCTACCTTCAGCATCCTTGGACCTGCTGCTCCCCCCCGAGCCGCCCTGTGCTCCTGTCAGCCCTACACCGCGGGTGGCATCGCTTCAGCACTAACTGCTGCTGGAAATGACAGCACTGGCCACAGAAACTCGTACTTCTTTTCATGTAAAACACGGAAGAAAAACACTTGATTAAAAAATACTTTATTAGGAGTACAGTGTACCTGCAATGTACTTTATAAGGCATTTTCTATACATGACTATTTCTACTATATATATATCTGGGTGTTCCTGTTCATATTTTTCCAATACATTAGTAATGTAATGAATAACACCTTTAAAAAAAAACTACATCTCTTTATTTAGTTCATAAATGTTCAAGCAGTACAACAAGTAGCTTTGGGCGAGGTTTTAATCAAAATTACTGTAAAGCAGTTTTAAAGTTCAGTTATCACTATTTCCCCTTTGTCCCCCATGTTTTAAACCACTTTCCCCCCCCCCCCTTTTTTTTATTTAAATAAAATAAATCCGATAATGCTGTTAGAAGTAGCTTATTTTTTCCCCGTTTCATTCACCTCTCCAAGTCCCCCTGCACCCTATGTGCATCTGGCTTTTGAACCAGAAAGTCTCAGTCTCTGAAAACTACATTTTCATGAAAAGCCAGGGCTGGGGAGGCTGGTTGCGTTTTTTCATTCCGTGCACAGAGGTGCCCGTCTGCTTTAATTGGAGGAAACCAAACCTGCCAAGCTCCTGGGCAGCGGCTCTAACTGCGGCGCAACAGGCTGAACGTGCTCTTCTGCTGGAGCTGTAGCATTTGAAAACAAACGCGGAAAAAAACCCCACCAACCCGATCGTCTTAAGCTGCACGTATAGCAACCTACCTCAGCGTTTTGACAGGAGCATAAACTGTTTGTAACGTGTAAGGAGAGAGCGCTTCAAGTTTGCTGGTTGCAGGATATTAACAGTTGTAGGGTCTTTTCTGTAATTTATGGCTGGGGAGACGTTACAGATCGATCTGGACAGGTAGCTTATGGCACTTACTTACGTTGTAAGAAGACCAGTGAATATTTAAGAACCAATGCACATTGCGTTCCGTGACCAACTCTGCCATAACTGTGCCTTAAACATTTATTACAACATTGTGATAAATAATATACACACCGGATCTTTTAAAATACCATATAAACCATACCTCAGGAATAGGGAGCCAGCTTCCCTATACATTATCCTACAACATTTCCCTAGCCTGTTGGGGATTTTTTTAAGTCTAAGCACAGATTCGTAAAACTGGATAACTACAGTAAGCAGCCTACGCTATTACACAATTAATGCGGTAATTGGCATTAGACTTGCATAAACCCTTGCACATCAGCAAACTTAAATTTAAGTGCCAGGCACACCATAAACATTTCCGTCTTCGAGCCGGCGTTGGGCAGGCGGGGGGGGGGGGGGGGGGGGGCAGCGAGTGCTGGGCCTTTTCGCCAAGTTCATGTCGCATCTACCACTTCCCGGGTATTGAAGTGCCGCACTCGTACCAGCGAACGTAGTTGATGTGAGTCTCCCCGCCTATCTTCCCGAATTTGACAGGCTCCTGACGGACTGCCCTGAAAAAGCCTGGAACAGAGAGGGCGGGGGCAGCGCGGTTTGCGTGGAGCCCCCGGGCAGCGCCGGCCCGGGACGCCCCCGCACCCCACAGTTACGGGCGGAACGAGCCCCCCCCCGCCGTTGCACACACCCCACACCCCCCCGGTTCGCGCTGTGGGGCAGCGGGCGGTTGGGCTCCCCACTCCCAGCAAAAGCTGAATCGCTGGGGGCTGCAGCAGCCCCGGGCTGGCGAGGGGGGGGCGGCTGCCCCGGGGACAGAGCCGGTGCCCCCTCCCCACCCCTGCAATGAAGAAGCAGCAGCACACACACACACACACACACAGACAGACAGACAGGCAGACAGGCAGACACACAGACACACAGACACACACAGAGACACACAGAGACACACACACACACAGAGACACAGACACACACAGACACAGACACAAACACACAGACACACAGACACACACAGAGACACACACAGAGACACACACACACACAGACACAAACACACAGACACACACAGAGACACAGACAGACACAGACACACACACAAAGACACAGAGACAGACACACACAGACAGACACACACAGACAGACACACACACACACACAGAGACACAGACGCACAGACAGACACCCCCCCCCCACACACACACACCACACACACACCACCCCCCCACCCCCACCCTCCCCCCACCCCCCCCCCCGCTGCAGTAGCCTTAACACACCCATGAACCGAAATAAAACTTGTAAAACTTGACCGTTGGGGCTATTTCACACCAGCTCCCCCTCCCCATGCAAAAGGTTCCAGGCTGTTGGGCTTCTCCTTCAGACAATGAACGTTAAGTGAAAGATCTAAGCCAGCAATTGGTGCTGATCATCAGAAATGTATCTATCTCACACACACCCACACACCCACGGACACACCCCCCCACCCCCCAACCAATACAGTTCCACAAGGAGCAGCAACAACAATTCCCTCCCTGCGCCTCAGGTCAAAGGAACGTGGCTCATTCCGGTTTGAGCCGCACTCGGCGGCCGCAGCCAGGGGGCAACTGAGCAGCCACGGCCAGTGTCCGGCCCTGCCTCTCTTCAGTTCATTTGCTAGAAATACAAGCTACAGAAAAGGTGGGGGCTTTTTAGCTTGACTGCTTGTTTGGTTGTTTTTTTTTTTTTTTCCTAAAAATGAATGTAGCCCGTGAATCCACTCAATTAAATCCAGTTGCTGAAAACAAACTGGTTTTAAATGTCTTTTAAGCTGGGGTAGCAAGCTTTTTATGTAAGAGGGTTTTTTTTTGTTTTTTTTTGGTTTTTTTCATTTATAAAATCTTTCAAAAAGAAGTGAATCTGGTACAACCGAGAGGGCTGCTGTCCTGGCGATGCCAAATTGGATTCAGACAATCCCTTACAGAAACAAAATACCTTCACCGACGGGCAACACCAACTGGAAAAGGAAAAGCAAAGCCCTCTTCAAAAAAAAAAATAAAGAAACATATCACAGAAGCAAAGACCTTTCAGATCGTTCACCTACTTTGGAAAAACTTGTGAGAGAGTTGGGCACTTTGCTTTAATCCCCCACACCTACCTCAGCACGTTTCTGCCCCTCTGCCAGGTGCTTTACAAACGCAGCACGACACGCAGGCAGGTTTGGCCAACGCGCTGGTAGCGCCCTGGAAACCGCTCTGGTACTTTCCCCCGTGACGCACCCCACGCCAGCCCACGCCAGCCCGGGTGGGCCCCGCAGGGGAAGGGGGAGCCTCACGCTGGCGCTGCTGCCCCCAGGGCAGGCAGGGGCACAGCTGGCGGCTCCAGCCTCAGCACCCCTGACAAGGCGCCGGGCAGGTCCCGGCCGCGCTCGCGGCGCCCGGTCCCGCGTCCGCTTAGACCAGACCGGGGACTCCAGGCACCCGGCGCAAATGAGGGCAGGCAGAATTACTGCCGCATGAATTATATTTTCCAGGAATAACTTCTTCGTTTCTCATTAGCACTAAACAAAGCTGTTTAGTGCCCAACCGATGATTTAGTGCACTTCAAATCAACCTTGCTAGTTTGAACGTAGCACTTCATGCCTCCCTGCAAACTCAAATTTGTGGTTGGGTTTAAATATGTAATACCAACTGTGAATAATCCGTTGGAATGTTTTAAACAGGAGAGAGGCTGTTTACCACCTAACAGAACCCGAGTCATAACCTTCCTTTAGTAAGTCATCGTTCATCTCCAAAAACTTCTGGGCTCCCTCCTGCCCGCAAAGCCCCTTCCATCGCCCACCCCAGCAGCGGGCGCTGAATCCGCTGGCAGGAAAAAGAAACACATGAAGAAAGGAGTTGCCACGGTCTGCTACAGAGACGGGCGTAAGGAATTACCATCTTTGACTGGTAGATCTTCTTGCTGTCCTGTCCTTCCATCCAAGAACGAGTCCACAAATTGGCAGTGATCTTCTCCATGGCCCCTCTGGTCTCCTATGTTATAAAATTTTCCTGAAAGCAAAGAAGCAGCGCAGTTGAAAATCCATATCCAGTTTAGCGAGAGCTATTTCCAACTTCCCAGACCCACCAGAGGCAACGGGCCGTGCTCTCCGCTCTGTGGGGAAGCCAAGGCGACTGCTGCGATTCTTTCCCCCTCGGGGTCTGTCGCTGTAATTTGAACATCATGTGCACGCTCCGAGTACAGCACTCATGGCTGTAGACAGAAGTGCCCCATTCCTGGCCACAATCTGTGCTTGAATGTATTTTTTTTTCTCCTCCCTACGCTTCACGCAGTAAGTGGAATTCTGTTACCACCTAGAACCTCATCCTGATTGTATCAAAGCCGCGGTCAGTTTTGGTGGTGCTCTGAATGGAAGGGGGGTTTGGTTGCCTGTCAGGAAGCCCCCCAGTGCCTTCAAAGATGTTTTTATAGACCACCTCTTAACACAGCCAAGGCCTGTTTTATAAATCATCATATTTTTACAACATGTATGTGCAAGTGATATCCCTTAACAAACAGATGACCTCGGTACAGTAACTGCTTACCCAGAGCATGAAGTGCGCCCGTGTATTTATTTGCAGAACTGCTTACCAGGACGCTCGACTTCAACTGAGTAGAAAACAAGGTCTCAAGCTCCCCATGCAGCCTGTGCTGACGTTACAGGCTGGGTTTATCCTGCTAACAACAGGACTCGCAGTGAAGGAGTTCTGACAGAGAGATGTTTTTTACTTACTGATTTGATTTGCAAAACGTCAGTAAAATTCAGTTCAGAAGGTGGAAGAGAGCACGCTGCCTTCCCTTCCCAAGCCCTGGCAGGAAACATTTTCAGATACACTCACCGTTTTTCCTAAACCCCTTGCACAGCACTTATTCTTAACGTGCTCAGCCTCCGGTTGTGAGGTCGAAAGGAAAGGTGAGAACATTTAGCAACAGGCTCAGTACTCAGGTGTAAGCTAAGCAGAAAGTCTGGTGCCTCATGAGACGTTGGGTGTCCTGTGGCCTTGCACGTGCGCCAGGCTGGCCATTTGTGGGATGGTGAGGTGGCTTGTAACACTGCTCCCCAAAGGGCCATTAGCAAAAGAGCTGCCTACCAACAAACTCTCTCTTTCTCATATTTCTGTGACCTGATCGATACTCTGCCAGAAATTCTCACCTCCACTTGATGGTTTCTGTGCATGCAGTTCTTCTCTAGCTTTAGAAAATTATTTATTACTATCTAGTTTTGGCTGCAGGCATGTTTTTTCCATAGGAGAACTGGTCAGAGGGAGTTCCTCTCAGCAATTTTTTGGTCTGAAATTAAGAACGTTCAGGCTGCCCAAAACAGCTTTTTTTTTTTTTTTTTTTTTTTCCATGGCTCTTGAAGGTCACACTTAGAATTATTTTTTTCCTCCCCTCCATAAATACTTTTTTTTTAGGTGGCCTGCTTTTCTGGAATTCCTGCAGTGACTGCTCTGGAGGACTGTTAAATGAGGTCAGCAGTAGATGCTGGTTTATAGAACAGTCCTGGCATGTGTATAGTAGATCGTTTTTTCTTCATGAGAGACAGAATAAAGCAGATATTTTTATAGCTAGCACAAGAACAGTCACTTTCAGATACACACATACCCTTCTGGCCCACAGCGTAACCTATGCGTAACTCAAACAATTGCTATACATAAATTAACAGCTTTCTCAGTGACTATTAAATTCTGACTGCCCAATTCTTTCCATAATAAAGGAACACACTTAAAAACATTTAATTAACAAATGACTAGATTAATCTTTCTCTTTTGGGGATAGCAACTCTAGCACAAAGTAAATGATTTTTTTTTTTTTTTTCTTTCCAGTGTTCCCTTATGGGTGGTCTTAAAAAAAAAAATTAGATACCCTTTTTGGTTTATACATTATGAACTCCGCAACACTAGAAGTATAGATTCACGCCAGAAACCAGCGCGCAAAGATAACGCTCGTTGGCTGCCTTACACAACAGCATTTGTACGAGGCACCCAAATGGCAAGAACATTACGCTGCTTAAACAGCAAAGCTCTGGAAGATCTTTCCGGGGTAAGGTGGAAGTGGGAGCTCGGCGCAGCCCTTCGCTGGCCCGGCTGGGGCTTCCGCTGGCCTCGGGGCGCCAGGGGCCAAGGCCTGGCAGGGAAACGCATCGGAACGGAGTTCGCCTTCGCATCAGAAACTTTCTCACCCACGTTTAGAGGCCCGCGCCGTGGCAGCCTGTCTTAGGGAAGGGGGGAAAAGCAGCTTTCCTTCTCCGCAAATATTTAAATTCTTTGAAATATATTGACAACTGGGCAGCACTGGTTGTAACAATGAATACAGTGTGGCCACCATCATCTTTCTCCAGCAAAGTTAAATCGCCACCCTTCCAGCAAGAACAAAAACAATCTAATGAAAAGAGGAAAATGGGCTCCTGATACATTAAGCTTTCCTTCTAAGCCTGAAGTAGCTTTCCCTGCAGTCTTAATTCCCTTGATTTAGGGCTGCAGCCTAGTCCTGCCAGATTAGCAGTGCTATTTCCTCCACTGGCTGGTTTGGTGACACACCATGCCTCACTGCCAGTGTTTGTCGTCTGACCACAGCTGGTTAGGACAGCACAGTTCAGTGAACGGTACCTCCGTTCAAAACAGTCTCTTTCTTTCACATAATTGCCAAGATACTATTTTCATATGAGGCATTGTACTTACTATTCTGCCTGGTCTGCTCGCGGGAGAGCGGCGCCGGGTGCAAGGCCGGGCAGCTTAACATCCCAGCGGCACGGGCTGCCCGGCACTGCCCGGCTCCTCCCTCCCCCTGCTCCTGCACGCCGGGCCCAGAGCCCTGCGCCTGGGAGGTGGGGCAACTCTGCGTTCCGAACGTTGGTTCTTCTTTCAGCCACTGCCTCTGCTAGCTCATTCGATCTGGTGTGAAGAACACACCGCCTGACTTGCCCTCAAAAGACATCTCCCACGCAGGGCTCTACTATGCTCGCTGTGCTCTGGGTGCCGTACTGGCGCCACTGCGGTGGAGGTGTCCATCCAGCTCTGATAAAAGAATTCGTGCAGAAGAAAGCCGGGAGCTTGGGATGGATTGTAAGAAGTCGACGTATTTCTAAATATAGCTTGCACAATCTACGTGAGACACAAAGTTCTGCTTAGCTATCAGCTAACTGGAAAACACTTCTTACAGGCTGTTTCCCAGCTCACACACAGCCTGTGTCACTTGCTTCAGGTCTTAAATACATCACACCCTAATGACCTTAAGACATTGAAAAAAACTTGAGAAGATAAGGCCAGGAGGCTGCTGTAATAAAATGTAATGAAAGAAAAAGAAGGGAAGTGGGAAGGGGGGGCCAAAAATGATAAGCAAAAATGGGGAAGTGGAAACAAAGCAAAAATGTCAAAGCAGGTGAGCAAAACCTGTTGACTAGAGTTGAAGTCATGTATTTATAGATCTCACAGTAATGAAGTGACCAGATGGTTACCAAATGGGATGGGAATGACTGTGTCTAATCCTGGTCTAAAATTAGGTCCTAATCCTCTAATTAGGAGCTAGTCCAGGCTACCCTTTAAATACAAATTTGGCACCTTTACAAATATATGCTATTCACTGGCAGAGCCTTGATCTTTATCATTTTTCTGTATGACCCCCTGGCTACTAACAGGTACTTAAGATCGGATGATCACCACAGAGAACTCACCCTCGAGTCTGGAAACTCAGTGTCAAACACATCAATGATTTCCGAGCACAGGCAGATTACTGTTGATGTTTAATCTGTCTGTGGAGTAGATTAAACATACCTGATCACACTTCAGCAGAGCTTGTCTTGTTAAACACCTTAGTCCTGGAACCACGATATCTTTAAGGAGTGGATAATGCGGACAACACTGATTTGAACGTCTCTTACCTGTAAGTGAATCACTGAGGTATATCTTGTATCTCAAAGAATTACACAGCTGCACACCAACGAACTTCTTATACCAAGTCCTCTTTACGTATTGTTTCCCTTTGCATTCAGAATAGGTGTCCGAATTGAATGGGATTTCAGTCCAGATAGCATCCTTTCCGACTGCAGGAGAGGAAGAAAGAGGCTGAAGTGTGACGCTGCATACAAAATTATGTACAACAAATGCAGTCAAGCAAATAGAATTAGAAACCCTGATGGAGCAGAGTGCACCATGGCACCAGTCACCTGCGTTTTGAACATGAAAGATACTTCAGGGAAGCACCATAGGGTGCAGATGTGACCGATGCAGTGAACTGCTGCTCTCTGTGTGTGGCACCAGTCTGCAACAAGCTCATTCTAGGACCTCGTTAGGGGGGCAATGTCTGTGCGTTGGGCAAAACTCTCATTTACCAAGGGTGTGATGCAGTCACCGTTTTTCAGTGGGTTCGAGCCAGGACAGTCAACTTGCAGTAAATTGCATGTGATTTAACAAAAATACACCTCGAAATTAAGTGTTGTGAATTGTGTGGAAAGAAATGGTGTCTCCGTGTTTGTCAGAGCGATGCCGTGACAAACGCCAAAAGCTCAGGCAATTTGCCTGAGCGGTCTCAGCTGTACTTCAGAGGCTCAGTCCACCTCCCGCCGAAGACAGCAAGTGGCCTAATAAAGCAGAGCTTGATCAAGCCTTCGGAAGCAGAAAATGTCTCTAAAACACAATGGCAGATAAATAGTATCGTCCGAGTTGTGCTCTGTTAACTCACTTAAAAGGTGTGGAGTAGCTTATTCATTTTGCAGAGCTGTCTTTTGCTTTAATGACAAGACTGAGAAAACACGAGGCCGTCCTTGGCTCGTTTGTGTACACTGGTTTGAAGCCATCCCAGCTGCCGTGGGAGCCCCGCACCACGCTGGTTGCGTTCCACTCAGGTAAACAAGCAGCCTGGCACGGATTCCTTACCAGGGGTACGGGTGGAAGGAGTGAAATCATGTGTGAATTCCATAGTTCATTTGGTGCAGCACAGCCACCCCCGCCTTGTAAAATTATGCTATCTCATTTCTGAAAAAAATTCCTCATCTGAAGACACTATACTATACATAAAACACTTACTTGAAATTGGCTCACTCACTCTTGGGTCCGCTGGGGGAAGAAAACAAACATTCAGTCAGACACTGTAAAACGGACTTTCCCAATATTTCAATGGAAAAGCATTGGTAAGTGATTTTCTACAGTCGATATAAGCTGTAATTGGTGAAACAAAGAGTTCTGGAAGCAAAGTTCACTTTTGTATTCAATTCAATTCAATTCAAAGACATACATTTCTTATGTGAAACTGCAGTATCAATGACCTTTAAAAAATTTTATTTGTGAGATGATACCAGTCAAACACAGTTCCAGTAAAGAGCTTACACCTGTAACCAGCAAAACCTAACTCTACTGCATCTTTTTAAAAATTTCACTTTCAAAACACAAACAATAAAAAGGACCCTTCTGTAATACTTGCCACACAAAACTTGGCTGTGAAAGCCCAAAAGTGAAAAATGGATGTGCACAATTAAGAAAAAATAAAACTGACCACTCGATTTGTCCAGGCTAAATAGGAGACAGAACACAAGCCTTGTCATTCATGAAAACTGCACTTGGCATAAACATTTTTCAGTTTTAACAATCTAGGATTACAAAGAGTTTATTCACAGTTTTTAAATACGTGTGGCATAGTCTGAACTCCCTGACTAATCCCTTGCTCAGCCAAAGCTCTCATCCATCACTGACAGCACTAGATGAGGACTATTACATTATTAAACCCAGCTCAAAATGCAGACTGAGAAAGTCCTTTTAAAAAGGCTAAATCCATTTTGTGTTTTACATGGTCCTTAAGTACTATCAAGCAATAAACACTTCTGCACAAAAGATGGTATCTTGCTTGTATAAAGCCAACAAGTCAACTGTAGTCAGCCTCATGGGGAACTGGAATAGGGAAAGCCAAGGCACTCTCTGATTCTCACCTCTGCGTCAGATAGGACTTAACTTGGGAACCAACCAATGAGCAAAATAGGTTTGTATATACCTCCTTAACAGTCTCACAGGAGAGTAAACAGGATGGAAGAGGACATACTGGGACATCGACTTTTCCCAACTGCTATTTCTCAATTCTTATTTCAGCCAAAAGACATCACACTATTATACAGCAGCCTTATTGAACAGGTAGAAAAAATGCCTGTAAACACACCAGCTCAAAGAAAAACCTTATGTTCCCCATCCAGAAGTCATTAATGAGTTGACAGGCACAAAAAGGTCAGGAATATTAATCTTAAATGACTGAGCCATCTCTAAGGATAAAGTTAGTTTCTTCATAACGAACACCAGACAAACTCTCTGGGGTCATCTTTTTTTCTCCTGCAGTCTGGCCATCTTACATCCTCACAGAGCATAGCCCTGGTCTGAGGCTGACCTTCCAGGCACTACTGTAACATGCTCAGCAGCAAAAAGCCAATCTGGAGACAGTAAAGAGCAAGACCAAGCAACATGCAAAATGCAGCAAGAGAGCCTTTCACACATCCATGGATACTAGAACCACTGTAAATGATGGTCAGGCCTTTGGAAGTTCTTACCTGATTCAGTATTGAATGCCACAACGTTGCTACTTGGACCTTCACCAAGAGGGTTTCTAGGTTTCACGTGGAATTCATAACTGGGGAATAAAATAGAAGAGCTGAAGATTTTTCAAACCAAGCATTCTTTCAGATTCTGGAGCAAGCAGACTGCCAACACACACCTTGGTGCTACTTGCCTCCTGGAGAAGAACAAAGAGGCCTAATTTCTTGATCTGAAGACACTGAGACATTCTTTGCCCTAACTGTCCAAGGCCCCTCTGAACACATAATTTCCCAGTCCTTTTGATAATTCTTCGCACACATCCTATTAACGTTTGATTTAGTGCACTGCTGGTTTAAGTCTGTCTCCTCTCACACACACAGTTTCAATTCTGGCAAAGGGAGCCGTTCAGGAGAGGTCATAAGCAATCTGATGAGCAGAGACTGAGTAAAGCGCATCGCTATTTATTTGCACATTTTTCATTCATAAGAACACAAACCTCCAATTCAGTGCCTCTCAGGCCCACCGACAGTGACAGACAAGGGCCAGGGGTGAAACACAGGGCCTGTCTTCCAGGAGAGGAGCTCAGCGAAGGCAAAGAACCAATGGCTTGAATATATGTTAACAGTAAATACATGAAGTAATGAAAAGATGCGCAGCGTCTCTTTCTTATCTTTTCACAGTTATGTCACACACCACCGGTCTGTACCGGAGTTACCTCGTGATCTCTTTTCATCACAGCTGTGCTGGGAACCAAACACAGTGCTACGAAAATGCAACAAGATGGAAGAAAAAAATCCAAGCCAAGTTCCTCTGCTTAAGCCTCTCCCACCCCGCAATACTTGATTAACAGTGGTGGGCGGGCCAGACAAGGTTGCTTCTAACACTGCAGCTCAGCTGAAACTTACCCTTTCGATTAGAAGCTCTAGGTAAACAGCTCTTGAAAGACAGCTGCAAACCTACAAATGTTGCACAGAAGACGCCAGACAGATGAGGCAGGAGAGAGTTACAAGGGCGGACAGCGGACACAGGCCGCAGTTAAGATCTTACATCCAGGGCAGAGCCAGGGACAGACTCTGCATGTCCTTCCCCCCAGCACACGCCACCCTTGCCAGCCGCTTCTCAGCCCTCCTGGCTCCAGGCTGGCGGCACCCGGGATCTCCGCACAGCTCAGCGACAGCTCAGTGCCTCCCCGGGGCACCCGCACGCCCTGCCTGCCGAGGCGCCCCCACAAGTGGCATGTACGCACCCCGACAACAGCACCCTCTTCGTGCCTTCCCCGTGGGCTATGAGCAATAATCTGTCCCACGCATGCCGCCTACAGAGAGGCTTTACGTGTGTCCTGAGGGCATACACTGCGTGAATCTCAACACAGGGCGTTTTTTTTTCATCAGCCAGACAGATCCATAGGACACAAGTCATAAGGACTGCAGGCCTGGAAAAGGGGCCCTAATATTTAGAGACCAAACACAGAGCAAAATGAGAATCCCAGGAATGGGCAATTAAACATCCAGCTCTTGACTCGAGGAGGATCACCTACCAGTGATAACTTGGTAGCTCATGACTGTAACACGGCATTGTAATGTATTGCTGAAATCGTTCCCAAACAGCAATTTTCAAAAGAAAAAAAAAACACATACTACTCTCTGCACAGTTGGAAATTTGTAAACCCCATTTGCAAGTCCCTACAAGAGACGGAATAATTCAGTCCAAGCTTTGGATTACCTCTCGTTGCTTCCTGGCTCCTGAAAAACCTGAGCAGCTCACTAATTAACCTCAGTGGACTAATCGTGCAGTACCGAGCAACTGTTTTCCATCCGCAGTACTTCCATGACAATATTTAACCTTGAAATTGCTTACATATTCAATTGCCTTTATTTCTAGGGTTTTCTTTTCATTTTTAAAGGAAATGCTGACAAAGATTGGTATGCTCAACAGATGCATTGTGGATAATTTGTGAATACTTCTAAGTGAAACATACATCTATTTTGAGCTTTAAAATGTCTATTAGGAGTAATCTGAACATTTATTCAAACATGCTGCAAAACCTTTTTGGGCAACTCCTATTACCCTGCTGTAGGAAAGAGACATTAAAACAATAAATGAAATAATAAGTTCTAGACACAAAATCTTCTTCATGATCAACTTCAAACTGTTTAACGAAATCCATGCTTTTAAAAATTGGATCTGAGCAGTTAATATTCGCACTAGATATGTGGCACAGTAACTTTTTTGGTCAAGAAGTATTCTCATCTGGTAGGAAAGGTCATTATGCAGAGATCTGTAGCTCAGCATTTGGAATATTCCTTCTGATGAATCACTGAAGCGTAAATGAAGATTTGCTAATACGTTGGGTGTTTTAAAGTAATAGCTAGAAGATACATTGTGGACAATGTAGAAATTAATGCATGCTTAGACATAAAAGGCTCCAAAGAAATTTTCCTGCTTCCTTCACAGCAGGAACACCTTATCTAGAGCTATTATTGCAATTTTTGATCATTGATAGTTCAACATGGCATGTTTTATTACTTTTCTGGGAGTTTATGGTTCAACCTTATGGACAATAATAATCTGCTTATGCCTCTTTGTATGCATGTAAGAGTTTCACGGATTTTGCAAACTGGATTTACATGCCTCTGTCAGGCAGAAAATCACAAGCTGGACAAGATGGCGGAAGATTTTGAAACAAATTTAAGTACTTTTCTGCTTTTTGTACAAATATAGCCCTCCAGAGCTGATATGCCCTACTTTGAGTTGTATTAGGCAACATTCTTCATAGGAAACAGTCCTCTTCCCAAAAAACTTAAGTCGATAAACTTAGGCCCATCAGTTCTCTAACTCCATAAAAAGACTAACGCAAGAACTGAAGACTAAATATTTTCCAAGCAGTATTTTTCAAATTGTGGTCTAGGGACCACTAGGATTTCTTCAAAAGATCAAACCACAGTTGGAAAAATTACAGCAAGAATAAAACAAAGAACTAAAATCTACACATAGAGATTTCAGCTCATGGAAGCATATAACCAAAATCGGAAAAAAGGAAAGTAATACAGAAATGTCCAAAGTTTAGCTTAGTCAATTAGGGGAGCCTCCTATTAATAATGATAAAGAGCAAATTTTAAAAACTAAAATATATACAATTTTACAGTTTTGTGGTAGGTGTTTTTACAGGTGCCTGAGCATCACAGGCTCCTTTTCCTCTGCCAAATTCAATCCTGAAACAATAGCAGTGGCTGCAACAGCACAAGAACAACTACTAACCACTTTTGGAGATGAAGAGAAGTAACTACCTGACTGAAAACTGAAAGGGAAAGAAAGGAGAAGTTAGACTGGGCTCACAGTTTATTAATAGAGTTTACAGATCTAACTAAATTTAAAGCCATGGTGTGGCTCTCTTCATAGAAAACCATTTAAAATCTCCTTTTTTGTGTGTCAGGTGAAAAAAAAAAAAACAACACCAAAGCAAATGTAAGAAAAAAGGGTACCTGCTGTAATCTTATGCACTTCTATACATACCACAAGGAAGGGCAAAAAATGCTTAGGGGTTCAAGAAAGTATGTAGGGCAAAGTTAATGAAGGGAAACAGGAAAGCTACATGATGATTATCCCATGTCTACCTCTTAGCTAGACTTCTTCAAGAGAAACTGGAGTCTATATTCCATCTTCATGTCTGTGTGCCTATACTGCCAAAAACTCTGCTACCCAGTACGTGCAGCAGTCCAACATGTGTCACACCTCCAGCATCTATAAGATTGTTATCCTATAAAGTTTGGAGACTAGGCCTCCCAAATCCTCCCAAACTGCATAAGACAATAAAAGTCCTTGTGCAGATTAAATGGACTTGACTTATAGTAATTACTGTGCAGAGTGTATTTTTCCATCATAGGAAATCGCTATTCCACATGGAACTTTGGCAGACACAGCTGCTCCTGCATTTTTCAAATCATGCAAAAAGAGAAGACTGAAGATTGCAGAACTGAAAATAGGTGAAGAGAGATTTTCACCATAATAGGAGGACTGAGGCAGCTGAGTACAGCCCTGGGACTTCAGGTCAATTGCTGGGGAGATGCTGGTGGTTAGATGACAATCACGCAGGACCGCCTCGATGTATAGAGCTTCTCTGTCTCTGCATATTGTGCTTCGATAGCAGTATAATCAGACATAGCAAATAAAACTAGGCTTAAGAGAAAGGGATGAAAAAAGAAAGAAAAAAATAGCGCTGGGCTTGTTTGAGGAGTTTTTCTCCTAATCAAGTTGGAAGAAGGGCTGAGAGAAATGGGAAATACTTACCCATGAACCCTGACATCAACATGCAATTTAGTACAAAAACCTGTTACTTTTGTAATAAAGAGTACAAAAACTCCAGCATTTTTCTGCCACTTTCTGCATTGTAACTTTCGCTGCAGTTCTCATCCCTTGACCCTTGCTGTTAAAAGCTAAGCTCTCTGCATCCAAAGATATTTTTCCTTGTATGTGATTAACACATTTTGGGTGCTAACTGTAATACAAAACAGTACTAGTTAATGGTAATAACAGCATGAGCAGGTAGGTATCAATTATTCTGTATAAATGCACCAAAAGCTTATTCAGTCAAGGGTTGAAGACTTACTTGGTATGGCCTTTGAGTAAATTATAGTAACATTCTCTCTTTTTTTGTTTCATACCTTTTGTAAGTCACATGAAAAAACTTTTGAAGGCCATCATCTACACACATTCTAAAAACAGTTTGGTACGTGCATATATCTTGCACGTTTCACATTTACTTCACAGTTTTGGTTGGCTGGTTGGTTGGGATTTTTGGTTTTGTTTTTTTGGGGGGGCCTTGGATTTATTAATTTATTTAGATTGATAGTTGGTTATTTATTTATTTATGTTTAACATTTCCTATTATTTGTATTCCTCAAGAGACTTCATGGCTCAAAATATACTTTGCCTTGGGACACAATCTAACCCAGAAGTCCAAGAGAGACCACTCAAAATGTTTTTAAAAATCACCAAACTACTTAACCAGGCAAAGGATCAGTACTTAAAGGGAAGTTTTAAAAAGCTGTGGAATGCAAACATTGCAGGATTTTTGTTTCTCATTATTCTTATTAA